ACACACACACACACACACACACACACACACACACACACACACATACACGCACATACATGCACACACACACACACACACAGACACAGAAATCTTCAAAAGGCTAAAACCTTGGCAGTTGCTTCTGTCAGAAGGACTAGTGATCCCATCGGGAAACAAGCGGATGTCAGGGATGGGCAGCAAGTTGTTCAATGAGCAATGCAACACTGGTCAAAGAAATGGGAAAAAATTCCACAATTTGAAGAACGGTGCAAAATTTCAAACTATTGGTGACTAGAGGGAGTATAGCGACGAAGTAGCGGTTATTTTAAGTATCAAAAAATATAGGAAATTTAGGATCTTAGGGTTCAAAAAGCTCGTTTTTGATGCACTAGTAGTTTGTAAGAATAGGATGAGTTTTAAAATTGTGTCTTTTTTTCGTAAAAATTTTCCTGTTTTTTTTTTTCCAGTTCTGAATATTTTCAAAATTTTTCTCCTTTTTACAGCTGATCAGAGCATTGCCCTTTACAGCTACCGTACTCGCGATGAAGTGCAAGAGGTTCGTAAAACTCGCGATCCAATTACAGGCTTCAGAGATAAAATAATTGCTGCCGAACTGGCAACCGAAGATGAACTTAAAGCAATTGATAAAGAGGCAAAGAAAGAGGTTTCTAGCTTTTTTTTTTTATCAAGACAATTGAAATTTCTTCGTTCTTTAAGCATTTACCTCATTCGTTTGGGAAGATTTGGTGGTGATGGAAAGCTGTACTACAATGAAACGATAGTTGATCAAAGCAAATAAATCAAGACTGTTCCACTGTATCTCCACACATCCTTAGATGGATTGACAAATCATTTCACATCATTGCCAGTGAGTTGAAAGTGCTGACATTCATCAGTACTTTACCAAAATCCTCGGCGAGTAGCTGCGGAGCTCACAATACTACTGAAGTGCAACCATATCTGATTATTGGGTTATTATATTAAGCGCACCGGTGCACTTTTTGTCCATCATATTTAGTAGCTGTCTCTACCGTTCTCTGGGAGCTATTCGAGAAAATTTTCCCAACCCTTAAAAAAGGGAAACGGTGGCGGATTGTTCTCCCACTGCACAAGAGAATTTCAGTGTTTACTGCCTTTGAACGCGAGAAATTTCCTGGGCATTCCTACCGTGAGGTCATACTTTACACCATATATCTGTTCCTGGAATTATCAGAGCCTGAATACTGGTTTTGTATACTTCAGCTTTCGTTAAGTATCGAATCAGATCCCAAAGATTTGCAGAAGGGCTTTTTTCCCCATTCTTAACTTACAGGGCTAATAGCAAATCTTGTTTTCTTCGATTTTCTCTTTTTTTAATGGTACAAATTCATCGAAAAAAGATAGAGCGATAACAAACTTTGGTGACTAATTCTGTTTCGGAATTATCAATACAGTCTGGAAGCTGTGTGTGGGGACCCGATGTTAGGACGCTGCGATAGCAGAAAACTTATTTTAATGTTTGGATAAACATTTTTCCAGGTTGATGAAGCCGTTAAAGTTGCGCACACGGAACCAGCACTGCCACGCGAAGGTCTATATTGCGACATTTATCATAACACACCACCGCAGTATGTACGTGGTATCACGCTGGATGAAAGCATCATACAGCCGTACTGCAGAACCGAAGATCTGCTGAAAAAACTGGGAGTGAACGCTTGAAAAATACATTATTTTCACTCGAAATCCAGTCGTTTTTCATTTCTTACGTCAAAAACCGGCCTTTCCGACAATGATTTTTGACCTCTTGATCGTTTTCTGGGCATTTTGGTGGGCATCGACTGTGCCCATTTTATTGCCGTATCCTAGAAAGATCGAAAGTTCCATGCTGGCAGTTTGGATTGTCTAGGATTAATTCTTTAGAACTTATCCATATCGATAACACGAGGTCTCTAAAGTAAACTTATGAGTCCCATGTTTTTCTCTTTTTGGATCATATTTTGCGATTCATTGGTGAATTTTGAAGTTCTTCAAGCTAAATCTTGAAATTCTGCCGCTAGACTGGCAGGTCTGATTTACTGTAGCAGACCATATAGACAAAAATATTTACACCTTAACCAAATTTTTTTAGCCATCCTGGCTTCGCCATTATTCAGGATAATTCTCAAAGTTACCAAGAGGGCTGGAAAAATATGCAGATTTTTGCAAGGACATGAGAATTTTTGAATAGGTTATTCTTAAAAGATCGGCTTCCCTTCATCAATTCTTGTGTTGGTAACTAGAAATGCTGTCATTCTGTTCTCATTAAATTTGGTCAGTTTTATAATCTTCGTACTGTGAAAGTTAGCATTTTGATAAATACCTATGTGTGAAATTATTAGAATACTTTATTGAAAAGTGATTG